ACACACACACACAGACACACACACACACACGGTTACATCATCGTGGAATAAAGTCTCTTTAACCGTGGCGTGTAGTTTGATGGTTACCGTTATCCACAGAGATCTGAGAGAGCTGCACAGGAGCGTCCAACAACACCTGCTTCTGAGAGCTGTGATGGTGATTCCTGTTTGAGACAGAGAACACGTTATTCTAGTTACACGTTTCAAACACATTTACTTTGTAAATCCTCAGTGTCTTTAGCACTTTGACTGAGTGACGCACGCCCCTGTCTGTTCCTGCAGGGGGCGCTGGAGTCTGAGTCAGGCTGAGAGCTGGAGCGGGTTTTAAACCTCCTGACAAACCGTTACACCGCGCCCACCTGTCAATCAGGTCAACTACACGCCTTATTGTGAATAACTCTTATCCTTCATCAAATCAAAACTGATGAGTCATCAAAACATTCACCCCCCGTACAGTGTGTGTCCATCCAGACATGAGCGTTTTATGGGTCATAAAACTGACTTTTTACATCTTTAGACGCCCAAGAGGACTTGAGAAACATCTGCTTGTGGCTGCAGCGTTCCTGACACACTCGTGTAGCTCAGTGCTAACAAGCTTCTTTCTCTGTTGGTAAATCAGAGAGTGAAGTGACGTTCTTACAGCTGCAGAGTGTTAAACATCTGAAGGCAGATGTCTCTGACGTCATCCTCATTTTTACTGTCGGCAGACACGTCCTGCAGGACTCCTCCGATGGCTTCATACACCTCCTCTCCATCCTCGAAATCTGCTCCGCCGCTGTCCAAAACACCTGATACACACAGAAAACACACATTTAGACTCAATAAATGCAGCAGGTAAACAGACTGTAAGGTCTGCAGGTAAACAGACTGTAACGTCTGCAGCGGGTAAACAGACTGTAACGTCTGCAAGTAAACAGACTGTAACACCTGCAGTGGGTAAACAGACTGTAACGTCTGCAGGTAAACAGACTGTAACGTCTGCAAGTAAACAGACTGTAACGTCTGCAGGTAAACAGACTGTAACGTCTGCAGCAGGTAAACAGACTGTAACGTCTGCAACAGGTAAACAGGCTGTAACGTCTGCAACAGGTAAACAGGCTGTAACGTCTGCAACAGGTAAACAGGCTGTAACGTCTGCAACGGGTAAACAGGCTGTAACGTCTGCAGCGGGTAAACAGACTGTAACGTCTGCAGCGGGTAAACAGACTGTAACGTCTGCAGGTAAACAGACTATAACGTCTGCAGCGGGTAAACAGACTGTAACTTCTGCAGGTAAACAGACTATAACGTCTGCAGGTAAACAGACTATAACGTCTGCAGCAGGTAAACAGACTGTAACATCTGCAGGTAAACAGACTGTAATGTCTGCAGCGGGTAAACAGGCTGTAACGTCTGCAGGTAAACAGACTGTAATGTCTGCAGCGGGTAAACAGACTGTAACGTCTGCAGCAGGTAAACAGACTGTAACGTCTGCAGCAGGTAAACAGATTGTAACGTCTGCAGCAGGTAAACAGACTGTAACGTCTGCAGGTAAACAGACTGTAACGTCTGCAGCAGGTAAACAGACTGTAACGTCTGCAGCAGGTAAACAGGCTGTAACGTCTGCAGCAGGTAAACAGGCTGTAACGTCTGCATTAGTGTTATTTTAGGGTTTTAGGGTACTACTATTAACAGTAGTGAGTTACTGATAGTTAGTTAACAGTAGTTATAGTAGGTTTAGTGGTAGTTAGTTGTAGTCTCAGTGATAATTAGTGGTAGTTATAGTAGGTTTAGTGGTAGTTAGTTGTAGTCTCAGTGATAATTAGTGGTAGTTATAGTAGGTTTAGTGGTAGTTAGTTGTAGTCTCAGTGATAATTAGTGGTAGTTATAGTAGGTGTTAATTAATACTTTGTAGGACACCTCCAGGGTTACAGCGGGTCACTGTTCGGTGTTTTGTCCATCCAACCGGCACTATAACCGTCCAATAAATACATTTTTTTTTCGGCCTAGCTGACCTCACCTCACTGAACCATGCCGGGCTAACCGGTGTCTCCCCTCTAGCCCGGTTAGCTCAGCCTCCTGTTAGCATGTTAGCTATGTAAGGAAACTGCCGTTCGGACCGCTCCACCGGCCCGGAACACTGCGGCCCTGTCCCCAATAAACAGCGACCCTAACCCCGGCACACAGCCGCCCTCACCCCGGTGTCTGGCTCTGTCCCTGACCCCTCACCTGTGATGTAGTCGAAAAGCTCCGTGTCGATCTCAGGAAACTCGCTCTTCAGGATGTCCACGTACGTCGCCATGATACCCGGCCCTGGAGTGTGCCGTGACGCGCATGCGTTAGTATGACAGCGCTGCGAATTGTGGGGGATGACGTTCTTAAATTAGTTGTAGTTGTTATGACTATTGGTTTTTTATGACGAAATTATTGAGCTCACGTGACTTCATCTTTATAACTGTACTGGTGGAGAGTTTACCTGTACTGGTGAAGAGTTTACCTGTACTGGTGTAGTATTAACTGTACTGGTGGAGAGTTTACCTGTACTGGTGTAGTATTAGCTGTACTGGTGTAGTATTAACTGTACTGGTGGAGAGTTTACCTGTACTGGTGTAGTATTAACTGTACTGGTGTAGAGTTTACCTGTACTGGTGAAGAGTTTACCTGTACTGGTGTAGTATTAACTGTACTGGTGGAGAGTTTACCTGTACTGGTGAAGAGTTTACCTGTACTGGTGTAGTATCAACTGTACTGGTGTAGAGTTTACCTGTACTGGTGTAGTATTAACTGTACTGGTGTAGAGTTTACCTGTACTGGTGAAGAGTTTACCTGTACTGGTGTAGTATCAACTGTACTGGTGTAGAGTTTACCTGTACTGGTGTAGTATTAGCTGTACTGGTTTAGTGTTTTACTGTACTGGTGTAGTATCAACTGTACTGGTGTAGAGTTTACCTGTACTGGTGTAGTATTAACTGTACTGGTGTAGAGTTTACCTGTACTGGTGAAGAGTTTACCTGTACTGGTGTAGTATTAACTGTACTGGTGTAGAGTTTACCTGTACTGGTGTAGTATTAACTGTACTGGTGTAGAGTTTACCTGTACTGGTGTAGAGTTTACCTGTACTGGTGAAGAGTTTACCTGTACTGGTGTAGTATTAACTGTACTGGTGTAGTATTAGCTGTACTGGTGTAGTATTAACTGTACTGGTGTAGTATTAACTGTACTGGTGTAGAGTTTACCTGTACTGGTGTAGTATTAACTGTACTGGTGTAGAGTTTACCTGTACTGGTGTAGTATTAGCTGTACTGGTTTAGTGTTTTACTGTACTGGTGTAGTATTAACTGTACTGGTGAAGAGTTTACCTGTACTGGTGTAGTATTAACTGTACTGGTGTAGAGTTTACCTGTACTGGTGTAGTATTAGCTGTACTGGTGTAGTATTAACTGTACTGGTGTAGAGTTTACCTGTACTGGTGTAGTATTAACTGTACTGGTGTAGAGTTTACCTGTACTGGTGTAGAGTTTACCTGTACTGGTGTAGTATTAACTGTACTGGTGTATTATTAACTGTACTGGTGTAGAGTTTACCTGTACTGGTGTAGAGTTTACCTGCACTGGTGTAGAGTTTACCTGTACTGGTGTAGTATTAACTGTACTGGTGTAGAGTTTACCTGCACTGGTGTAGAGTTTACCTGTACTGGTGTAGTATTAACTGTACTGGTATAGAGTTTACCTGCACTGGTGTAGAGTTTACCTGTACTGGTGTAGAGTTTACCTGCACTGGTGTAGTATTAGCTGTACTGGTTTAGTGTTGTTCTGTACTGGTGTAGTATTAGCTTTACTGGTTTAGAGTTTTACTGTACTGGTGTAGCATTTGCTGTACTGGTTTAGAGTTGTACTGTACTGGTGTAGCTGGTGTATAGTACCATATTATCTGTACTGGTTTAGTGTTTTACTGTACTGGTGTAGTATTAGCTGTACTGGTTTAGAGTTGTACTGTACTGGTGTAGCTGGTGTATAGTACCATATTATATGTACTGGTTTAGTGTTTTACAGTACTGGTGTAGTATTAGCTGTACTGGTTTAGTGTTTTACTGTACTGGTGTAGTATTAGCTGTACTGGTTTAGTGTTGTACTGTACTGGTGTAGTATTAGCTTTACTGGTTTAGAGTTGTACTGTACTGGTGTAGCTGGTGTAGTACCATATTAGCTGTACTGGTTTAGTGTTTTACTGTACTGGTGTAGTATTAGCTGTACTGGTTTAGTGTTGTACTGTACTGGTGTAGTATTTGCTGTACTGGTTTAGTGTTGTACTGTACTGGTGTAGTATTAGCTGCACTGGTTTAGTGTTGTACTGTACTGGTGTAGCATTAGCTGTACTGGTTTAGCGTTTTACTGTACTGGTGTAGTATTTGCTGTACTGGTTTAGTGTTTTACTGTACTGGTGTAGCTGGTGTATAGTACCATATTATATGTACTGGTGTAGAGTTTACCTGTACTGGTGTAGTATTAGCTGTACTGGTTTAGAGTTTTACTGTACTGGTGTAGTACCATATTAGCTGTACTGGTTTAGTGTTTTACAGTACTGGTGTAGTATTAGCTGTACTGGTTTAGAGTTTTACTGTACTGGTGTAGTATTAGTTGTACTGGTTTAGTGTTGTACTGTACTGGTGTAGTATTAGCTGTACTGGTTTAGTGTTTTACTGTACTGGTGTAGTATTAGCTGTACTGGTTTAGAGTTTTACTGTACTGGTGTAGTATTAGCTGTACTGGTTTAGAGTTTTACTGTACTGGTGTAGTATTAGCTGTACTGGTTTAGAGTTTTACTGTACTGGTGTAGTATTAGCTGTAGTGGTTTAGAGTTTTACTGTACTGGTGTAGTATTAGCTGTACTGGTTTAGTGTTGTACTATGTAGTATTTGTTGTACTTGGTGTGTTGATAAAAAGAATAATCTGTCGTCCAGCCCTCTTCCCTTTGAACGCCGCTCTGCGCATGCGCTCCTCTGGAGTTTAGGGTGGGAGAGTTAGCCGTTAGCATCGTGAGCTAACCAGCCGGAGTGTATAATGGCGGCCTCGGTGTTGCTGGGGTCTGCGGACAACACCGGACTAAACTTCTCGATTGGAGGCGGCAGCGGCGGTGGTTCTGGGAATGTTTTAGTAGGGAACAATAACGGACTGGGCTCGGCGGGTCCCGCGCCTTGGAACCGGTCTCTTGACCGGGCACTGGACGAAGCCTCGGCCACCGGGTGTCTGAACCTCAGCGGCAGGAAGCTGAAGGAGTTTCCCCGGAGCGCCGCCAACCACGACCTAACGGACACCACCAGGGCCGGTGAGTAAGAGGAGGGCTCCGGTGACCGACCAGGCTGCTGTCGGCCCGGTGAGAGGAGCGTAGGGACAGTTTCTTAGACTTTTGGGGCGGGAAAAGTTGGAATCCAACTTCAGGGCTCTGGGATGGGAAACAGTCAGGGCCGGTGTTATGACAAATGTTGTCTCCCCAAAAAAACAGTGTCATGTCTCGATTCCTCCGTCTGTAATAAGAGCATCGAGGCTCTCTGACGGCTGTGACTAAATGTTATGTTGGTATATATAAAGGATGAGCTCTATTGTAGACAGTCAACAGTTTTAAAACAGAATAATTAAAAATGCGACATGACGTTACAGCGTCAGCAGTCCGTTGGGGGGTGTATTGTGTTGGTTACAGTTTGAGTTATTACACCTGAGAGTCTCAGCTGGGTGTATTGTGTTGGTTACAGTTTGAGTTATTACACCTGAGAGTCTCAGCTGGGTGTATTGTGTTGGTTACAGTTTGAGTTATTACACCTGAGTCTCAGCTGGGTGTATTGTGTTGGTTACAGTTTGAGTTATTACACCTGAGAGTCTCAGCTGGGTGTATTGTGTTGGTTACAGTTTGAGTTATTACACCTGAGAGTCTCAGCTGGGTGTATTGTGTTGGTTACAGTTTGAGTTATTACACCTGAGTCTCAGCTGGGTGTATTGTGTTGGTTACAGTTTGAGTTATTACACCTGAGAGTCTCAGCTGGGTGTATTGTGTTGGTTACAGTTTGAGTTATTACACCTGAGAGTCTCAGCTGGGTGTATTGTGTTGGTTACAGTTTGAGTTATTACACCTGAGTCTCAGCTGGGTGTATTGTGTTGGTTACAGTTTGAGTTATTACACCTGAGTCTCAGCTGGTTTAGCAGGTAGCATGCTAACAGAAGTGTTTGTACTTTGTAGTAAACACGACACATTGGTTATGCTATTGTTAGCCGGTTAGCTCCTCTGAGTAAAGTTAGTTGATGTACAGCTCGGACCGTCCGGGTTCGATGCCACCGGGCTGCAGAGCCTCACTCCAAGTTTCTGACGTCATTGAGTTTGAAAAGGTGAACGCACACCTAGCTTTGTTTTGCTTAATGGTGTTTGGTGCCTGATTAGATAATGAGGCTCCGCCCACCCGAGGCTGACAGGCCGGCGTGCAGAGACAAAACAAACCCACACAACAGACTTCACATTAAAGGGACAGAGAGCACTTGATGCTGTGACGCTGTGAATGGAAGATGTCTCCTCTGCTGTCAGGTTTTGGGATGTTTTAATATGAGCAGAGGAGCTGAAATACACTGAAGATCAGACACACAGAACTCAGCTGTAAGCAGGGACGTGCTCCTGCACATTGTCTAAATGTGTTTGCTGTCAGTGTGATTCTTTGATGGGGGGGGGGGGGGGGGGGCTTTCAGACACTACAGTTCATTAAAATAACAGTGTTATTGTTTACAAACAGCTTCAGAGGTGCTGGAAAGGAAGGAGACTGCTTGGAGCCCCAGACCAGTGCACATTTTATAATGACAGTCGAAAACCTCCCTAAGGGGGCCCCGTCTCACAGCACTCAGTGTTCCTGAAACGTGTCACTTAAAGTGGCCGTTGGTGTCAGATAATTCTTTGACGTAATGGCGGTGAATGCTGGTTGGAGGGGCCCCCAGGGTATTTAGCTTTGGGCCCCAACAGACTCCTTAATCGCCCCCGGCTTCATGTCAAATGATGTCGTCTTCATTCTTCCTCTCAGGTTCAGATCATGAATCCTGAACAGAGAGGGGACAGATCTGATGGAACATCTGTATCAGGATGGAGCCAATCCGCTCTTCCACATAGAGCGGGAAAAAACATCGATTTCTGTAAAAATCGAGATTCAAAATCAATTCCAAGAATCTAAGCTAATCAGTCACTTCGTGCTCAGTGCTAAGGCGAGCTCTTTGTAGAACGCCCGTCTCACAGATGATCCTGAAGTATTTACTCACAGATAAACTTTGGATCATGAATCCAGAACCGTTTGAATCCAAAATAGATTCTGAATCTTAAGTGTGACACTCCCAAAGAGTCCCAGCCCTACTCCACACGTTTTAAAACAGATGTTTTCCTCCTCCCTGTCTGAACGTCTTCACCCTGGAAGGAGTTTTACAGAAGGTGTGTTTTCAAGATTAAGATTTACTTTTATTGATCCCCACAGGGGACATTTCAGATCCCCCTTTATTTTCAGTGACCTAAACCGGCGGTTGTGTACGAGAGGTCAAACGCAGAGAAGAAGCTACGTGTCAGACGAACCGGCCTGCGTGTGGACTGAAGTGTTTACAAGTCGTTACCATGACGACGTTCAGACGAGATGAAACCGCTCCCTGCTGTGTGAGGGCTCATATATTTTGGGGTTATTGTTTCTGATCGTTGTGGGATCTTATTGAGTGTCTGGATTGAAGGTCACATGGTGATGATTTAACTCACCTGTTCACCTGTTCACCTGTTCACCTGTTCACCTGTTCACCTGTTCACCTCGTGGAAGAGAGACGGGGAGCTGGGTCGGCGTGTTTCTTGTCGAGCGCTGTTTTCTTTAACTCACAGTGTTTCCTTTGAGCTGGTTCTCTAACAGACACACACACAACAGACGCACACACACACACACAGACACAACAGACACACACACACACACAGACACACACACAACAGACACAGACACAACAGACGCACACACAGACACAGACACACAACAGACGCACACACAGACACACATACACACACACACACAGACACAACAGACACACACACACAGACACACACACATCATATCAGGAACTATGGCGTGATTTTCAGAACACGCCGTTTAGCGTCCTCTGCAGACTCATCCTGGGATTACTCCACCTGATGATCTGACACTTTGACCACGTGTAGTTTGAGCATCCGTCATCGTGACAGTTTATCACGAGGATCAGCAGGAAAGGTCGACTTTAAAACAACGTCATCGTGACAGTTTATCACGAGGATCAGCAGGAAAGGTCGACTTTAAGACAACGTCATCGTGACAGTTTATCACGAGGATCAGCAGGAAAGGTCGACTTTAAGACAACGTCATCGTGACAGTTTATCACGAGGATCAGCAGAAAAGGTCGACTTTAAGACAACGTCATCGTGACAGTTTATCACGAGGATCAGCAGGAAAGGTCGACTTTAAGACAACGTCATCGTGACAGTTTATCACGAGGATCAGCAGGAAAGGTCGACTTTAAGACAACGTCATCGTGACAGTTTATCACGAGGATCAGCAGGAAAGGTCGACTTTAAGACATCGTCATCGTGACAGTTTATCACGAGGATCAGCAGGAAAGGTCGACTTTAAAACAACGTCATCGTGACAGTTTATCACGAGGATCAGCAGGAAAGGTCGACTTTAAAACAACGTCATCGTGACAGTTTATCACGAGGATCAGCAGGAAAGGTCGACTTTAAAACAACGTCATCGTGACAGTTTATCACGAGGATCAGCAGGAAAGGTCGACTTTAAGACAACGTCATCGTGACAGTTTATCACGAGGATCAGCAGGAAAGGTCGACTTTAAGACAACGTCATCGTGACAGTTTATCACGAGGATCAGCAGGAAAGGTCGACTTTAAAACAACGTCATCGTGACAGTTTATCACGAGGATCAGCAGGAAAGGTCGACTTTAAGACAACGTCATCGTGACAGTTTATCACGAGGATCAGCAGGAAAGGTCGACTTTAAGACAACGTCATCGTGACAGTTTATCACGAGGATCAGCAGGAAAGGTCGACTTTAAAACAACGTCATCGTGACAGTTTATCACGAGGATCAGCAGGAAAGGTCGACTTTAAAACAACGTCATCGTGACAGTTTATCACGAGGATCAGCAGGAAAGGTCGACTTTAAGACAACGTCATCGTGACAGTTTATCACGAGGATCAGCAGGAAAGGTCGACTTTAAGACAACGTCATCGTGACAGTTTATCACGAGGATCAGCAGGAAAGGTCGACTTTAAGACAACGTCATCGTGACAGTTTATCACGAGGATCAGCAGGAAAGGTCGACTTTAAGACAACGTCATCGTGACAGTTTATCACGAGGATCAGCAGGAAAGGTCGACTTTAAAACAACGTCATCGTGACAGTTTATCACGAGGATCAGCAGGAAAGGTCGACTTTAAAACAACGTCATCGTGACAGCGACAAATTTAGAAATCTGATTTGATAATACACGTGTTCCTCTGCCCTCCCTGTTATGATGTCATATGATGATGTCATATGGAGACGGTCACATGATAGAGATGGTCGGCCATGTTTAATGAGCCTATCTTTATTTGTGAACTGCCATCAATGAAGTTGGTTGTCATGGTAACCGGTCTCTGCTGAGTCGGATCTCATGGATTCAGTTGGGGTCAGCTGGTCAGTGAGTCATGGCGTCCCGTGACACCATGACAACCAAGTGGAGTGCTCTGATTGGAGGACGACTCGGAGACACACAGACTGTTGTTAGAAGTTTGGTTTCTATTCTCAGAGGCAGTCACAAGTTTCTTACACACACACACACACACACACACACACACACACACACACACACACACACACACACACACACACACACACACACACACACACACACACACTCTGGTATGATGGCTGTAACAGGACAGGATGTAAAGGTCTGACGTACACTGACTGTATAGGTTTCTGTGTATAAACAGGAAGCAGGGCGGGACTTGATGTAGATGTTGATTGGTGTTTGCAGCAGCCAATAGCAGCCAAGATAAGATTCAAACAGAGTGATGACTCAGCACAGTAATACAAATAATGATCTGTTGTTCTAGTTTACTTTATGGTTTCTGATGACGTTCAACTTCTTCATGTACCGAAATGTTTCTGTGATGGACGTCCTCTATGCAAACCTAACTCTGTGTGTGTGTGTGTGTGTGTGTGTGTGTGTGTGTGTGTGTGTGTGTGTGTGTGTGTGTGTGTGTGTGTGTGTCTCTGTGTGTGTGTGTGTGTGTGTGTGTGTGTGTCTCTGTGTGTGTGTGTGTGTGTCTCTGTGTGTGTGTGTGTGTGTGTCTCTGTGTGTGTGTGTGTGTGTCTCTGTGTGTGTGTGTGTGTGTGTGTCTCTGTGTGTGTGTGTGTGTGTGTGTCTCTGTGTGTGTGTGTGTGTGTGTCTCTGTGTGTGTGTGTGTGTCTCTGTGTGTGTGTGTGTGTGTGTGTCTCTGTGTGTGTGTGTGTGTGTGTGTCTCTGTGTGTGTGTGTGTGTGTCTCTGTGTGTGTGTGTGTGTGTGTGTCTCTGTGTGTGTGTGTGTGTCTCTGTGTGTGTGTGTGTGTGTGTCTCTCTGTGTGTGTGTGTGTGTGTGTGTCTCTGTGTGTGTCTCTGTGTGTGTGTGTGTGTGTGTCTCTGTGTGTGTGTGTGTGTCTCTGTGTGTGTGTGTGTGTCTCTGTGTGTGTGTGTGTGTCTCTGTGTGTGTGTGTGTGTCTCTGTGTGTGTGTGTGTGTGTGTGTGTCTCTGTGTGTGTGTGTGTGTGTGTCTCTGTGTGTGTGTGTGTATCTGTAGATCTGTCTCGTAACCGTCTGTCAGAGCTCCCTCTCGAGGTTTGTCTCTTTGTGTCTCTGGAGAGTCTGAACCTCTACCAGAACTGTGTGAGGTCTCTGCCGGACAGTCTGCTCAACCTACAGGCCCTCACCTACCTGAACCTCAGGTAACACACACACACACACACACACACACAGGACCTGTCTTCTTCTCCTGCTAAACAAACTCACTGTTTCCTCCTGTACAGTGAGCTGGAAGTCTGATATCTGTTTGTTACCACGGCAACACAACTAGAAGTTCTAGCCACCAAATACCGACTGATTTCTGATTAACGACTATCAATAGTACTATGATGTTAATGACAATATGAACCTGTCTGTCTCTCTCTCTGCCTGTCTGTCTGTCAGTCGGAACCAGCTGTCTGTCCTCCCGGTGGTGGTGTGCTCTCTGCCCCTGAAGGTTTTGATCGTCTGTAACAACAAGCTGGTGTGTCTGCCGGAGGAGCTGGGCCAGCTGAGACATCTCACTGAACTGGTATGAAAACATGTTTTAACCTCTGACCTCTGACCTCTGACCCCCTGACTGACATCAGTCTGTCAGAGAGTTTTCATTTACTCTGTGTTTCATCAGAAAGTACCAACACACACACACACACACACACACACACACACACACACTAATGATCAGCTGTGTTACTGCCCCCTACAGGATGTCAGCTGTAATGAGATCCAGACTCTGCCGTCTCAGGTGGGTCAGCTGGAGGCTCTACGGGACCTGAACATCAGGAGGAACCACCTGGTCAGACTGCCCCCAGGTACACACACACACACACACACACAGACACACACACACACACACACACACAGAGACAGACACACACAGACAGACAGACAGACACACCACAGACAGACACCACACACACCACACACACACACACACACACACACACAGACACACACAGAGACAGACACACACAGACAGACAGACAGACACACACAGACAGACACACACAGACACACACACACACACAACACACACACACACACACACACACACAGACACACACACACACACAGACAGACACACACACACACACACACACAGACAGACACACACACACA